TCCATCTGTTATCAATGCCCTGGCTTTGTTGCTATGACCATATCCACCACAGAAATATTTTGCATGCTTGTATTTCTGCACTGGTATAACACTTCTATATATACATATAATCCAGGTCTATTTTACTAATTAGTCTATTTCATTAATATTTTTACTCAAGCATAATCTGAGGACCACGACACCTACAAATAAAAGCAACCTGATTTTAAGAAGTTTCGCCCCTGGGATGAGCCATGTTTGGGAGTGCTTGCCACTCTTAAGAATTGGGCTATGCAAAGTTGTGTGCCAAAAGCTCATATTCATAAGGTATTTAGCCAAATGTTGCAAGTCTTGGCTTTTGGACAGGAAGTAACAACAATTAAACTGAATTAAGCACCCACCTGCTTTCTACCTCAGGAATAGGGGGCATTCATAACCCTACATGGAAAGCGAACACAGCCAGCAAACAGAACTGCTGAACCCCTACACCCACAGAGCTTAAATGAAAGTCCTGCCTGGTGCACAGTTTTTTGCTTTTTTTCTGACAAAAGATTAGCCCTGGGACAGCCCCCTATGTGAGGAGGCAATTCTTTCTTTATTGTTATATTTATGTGGCTATAATTAGAGCATAAACTTGGCCAAGTTCTGTGCCGGAGTGCAGGGCCATCGGGAGGCCGCCCCCATCGCAACCTAGGGAGGCTCTGTAATGAGTATTTTGCCACTCTTTGCCATTTCATTTTCCATTCCATCTGCAAATGTACTCAGGAATCATTCCGAGTTTCCTTCCAGGTAGCTGATAAAACCATTGAGCAGTATCAGGCCAAGAAGAGATTCCTGCGAGGTCCCACTGGAAACAAGCTTGGCGATGAATATTCCCCATCTCCAATCACTTTTCAAGATTCTCCTGTTAACCATTTTTGGTCCATTTGACCATTCTTTCTGGTGCACTCATTCTACATAGTGTTATTTTGATTGTTTTCAACACAGTGTCAACAAGACTAACTAAATGTCCTCTAGTCTAAGTTATTGCTCTTATCCTTGTCAACTTAACTTGTAATCTCAGAAAAAAAGCAGTATCAAGTTTGCTCAACAAGCCCATTATCCACAAGAACTTGCTGGCTGTTATTAGCTGTGTTGTCATCTCTTCATTTCTTGTTGGAGGGATCTTGTTTCAACCTTCCCATAGTTTCACCTGACCTACAGTTACCTGGATCATCTTATTTAACCTTTAAAAAAGCAGGCACAACATTTGTTTTTTCCAGTTCAGTGGAACTCCTCTTGCTGTGCCAGGATTTGTTAAAAAGTAACAGTAATGGTGTGGACATTTCCACTCTATTAATACTCTCCAATGCAACTTTTCTGGCCTGAGTGCGAATTAAGAAGGAAAATATAATTATTGAATTTCACTTCTAACTTCAATTACAGAAGACTTCAACTTCTATTAGAATGACCTGCAAGCATTTTCATAATGAAATGCAGAGCACCTATTACTATCCTATTACCTTGAAGTTCCTATTACCTTGAAGATCCTATTATTACCTATTACCTTGAAGCATAAGAAGTTCCATCTCCAGGTGAGGAGCAACTTCTTTACTGTTAGGGTAACAGAGCAGTGGAACAGGCTGCCCAGGGAGGTTGTGGAGTCTCCTACTCTGGAAGTCTTCAAAACCCGCCTGGATGCCACCCTGTGCCACATGCTGTAGGTGTGCCTGCTTGAGCAGGAGGGTTGGACTAGATGATCTGTAGAGGTCCCTTCCAACCTTAAATATTCTGAAATTCTGAAATTCTATCTTTGTAATGGTAATGTTTTAAAATAATCTCCAGTGCCTCTCTGCCTTAGACCTGCAAAATATTTGAAATGTCACAAGGACAGGATGTTTTTTGCTCAGCTGTTTCATAACACTTACTGCTTTTTTTGGTTGTTGGGGTTTTTTTTTTTTTTTTTTTTTNTTTTTTTTTTTTTTTTTTTTTTCTCTTCTGCTCATCTTTTGCCTTCACTTTTTGGCCAAAGCCTGTAATTTTTAAAGATTAAAGAAAGATAACTGAAAGGGAAAAGTGAACATGCAGAGCACTTTGTAAGCCTTTTTTATAGCCATGCTCAATAGAATTTTTAGAAGCTTTAAGTTTAGCAGAAGTTAATATACCATCAATCTAACAATCCCTGTTTTCAGCAAACTCAAGCTGTAGGGGTTTGAATTTACATTTAATCTAAAACAAATAAGCACTAGCCCTCTAAACTTGGCGTACATTACTTCTGAAGCTATTGATTAAACATCTTTCATCTGCTGTCCTGTCTTGTGGTATTTATATTAAGGCAAGATGTTGTCTTAACAATTTCTGTCTTGTTACCAATCTGACCTGAAAATAGAGATATAATAGTATCTAGAGAAAAACAATGAGAATATGGATGAAGACCTAACCAAGTGTAAGATGCCTTTTTAAAGAGATCGGTGAATTCACCATTGCTTATAGTTCTCTTTTGCTGCATGGAATACCTTGCTAGCTGTCAGGTACATCTATTAAAGCAGGACCTAGTATCTAGGTTTTAATATGCTCATTTTGAAGCATTTTTGAATATTTCTTCAAATATGTAACATCATTTTTTTCCTCTCTTCACCTAACAATCAACATAGGCCTAAGATACAGAAAAAAAAAGAAAAAAAAAACAATGCAAATGCAATTATTTGCAAATGTCTTTAGGTCTAAGTGGATTTTTTAAGAAAAAACATTTGGCACTTCATGTAAGAAAATAAGAGCAGTACAACTTATAATTAAAACGAAAATTTGTGTGTGAAGTTCACCCTAAAATGGCAAAAAGAATTCTTTGCCTGTGGGGATACATTGATGCAGAAGAGCTTTTTCCTCATATTTGGCTGATCCGAATGTTCTTGACTTTGTAAAGTCCCCTTCTGAATCACTACACAACTGTAATTTACCCTATTGATGCATAGAAAGGAATACAAAAGACACTTCCTTTGTTCTTTTTCTTTTTTTTTCACAGAATCACAGAATGGCTGAGGTTGGAAGGGGTCTCCAGAGGTCATCCAGTCCGACCCCCCTGCTCCAGCAGGGACACCCAGAGCACGGGGCACAGGGCGGCATCCAGGCAGGTTTGGAGACCTCCAGGGAAGGAGACTCCACAGCCTCCCTGGGCAGCCTGTGCCAGGGCTCTGTCACCCTCCCAGGGAAGAACTCACATGGAGATGGAACTGCCTGTGTTGCAGTTTTCACCCACTCCCCCTTGTCCTGTCACTGGCCACCACTGGGAAGAGCTTGGTCCCTTCCTCCCTGCATTCTCCCTTCATGAACTTATACACGTTAATCAGATCCCCTCTCAGCCTTCTCTTCTCCAAGCTAAACAGGCCCAGCTCAGTCTCTCCTCATACGAGAGATGCTCCAGTCCCTTAATCATCTTTGTTGCTCTCCGCTGGATCTTCTCTAGGAGCTCCACATCCCTCTTATACTGGGGAGCCCAGAACTGCACACAGTGCTCCAGGTGCGGCCTCATCAGGGAAAGTTACTGTATTAATACACTGTTACATAGCATCTCTTACAATACAAATATAACAGTGTAAAACAATTTCAGGATTCTTTAGGCTCCAACTATGTCCATCTGTGCGTTGCTTTAATATTTAAAAAGCATTTCCCGGTGAGGTACCCAATAGTTTATTTTTAAAAATAAACAAACTCTGTATGAAATTTTATTCATCTTAGTTCCTCTCTTTTCCTCCTCAGATTGCATGCAAGAGCCAGACCATTTTCAGATAAGCTTTGTTATTAGAGAAGAGTACCCCCTGAGAAAACAGCTCCTAACGCAGGCCATCATGGTACTCTCAAAGAAACATTTTAAAAGATCAAATCCTGAAAAACTACAATAAAAATACAATAAACCGTCCTTTGAAGTTGAGTGGAAATTCCTTACATAGGGATTTGGGCTCCTGGAATTGAAATAGCCTTGGAAGGAGAAGAAACAAATCAAAACAATATAGCTAAGGAGCCTGTATCTACGGCTCATTAGCCCAAGAGAAGCAGGCTGACCCTGTATCTTCTACCTGCTGCATTGTTGGTCCTCTCTTTAGGAAACCTGCCAAGTCTGGAGGGCTAATTCTGAAGCTGGCTTCAATAAGAGGTGTATTTTTCACAAAAATCTATGCCTTTGTCTTCCAGAAGGCGAAACACAAAGACTTTTAGCCTATTCTGCTTTCAACCACCCAAGGCAGACAGCCAATCCTAGGTAAACTGCAATTTGGACTACAAATCTTTTGGCAATGTTTCTGACCCCACTCCCACTTCTGCCTTGGCAGAGTATTTTCCATCAGTGAAAAGAGCTTCTACTTCTCACGCTCAGAAAGTGGAATCAGGACTTGGGAAACAAAGTATATCCTAAATGTTATGTTTCAATTTTAATATTGTTTGGAAGAAAAGAGGAAACTACTTCTAAAGGAAAAAGCCTTCAAAAAGTCCTTCTTGTTTGGTGGATGAAAACAGCCATGGAATTGACAATGATACAGAGCTAAATCAACACCAAAAGAGATGTCACTTGCATAGTTAACATACATGATTGATTGTCTTCATTAAGTTCTAAAACATCAGATATTTGTATCCAAAATTTCACTTAGGAGCTCAACTTACAGCTCATGTCAAATGTATTTGGACAAAACCCTTCTTGACGTAATAAATAAGTGATAGAAATATTTCAGGTAGCTAAGAAAAAGAGATACAGATTCAATACCCTAGTTTCAGTGCTGCCAAAAAACCCCTCTCGCTCAGATGATATAACTCTACAAAAACTCTGCTAACAAAAGGTTATTTTCTTGTTTTGCCCAGCCACAATGTTTACATTTGTGTTGTGCTTGCACTTTTATTCAGACACAGGGGTTTATGCAAGAAACACATGGTCTCTGCACACGAGTCTCAATCGCACTAGACAACGTTCCTAAAGCAACACCATGCAATAAGGTGGTTTTTCCCCCACTTCCCCCATTCCCCCTGTGGAGTGATATGAAAGGCAGGTGATTTACCTGATTCCTGGAGATAGCGATACACCAAGAAATTCACTTCGTCACTGGTTATGCTCATCTTAGCCCAACCTCAATATGATGAGGTTCACGAGAAGGATGATCCACGCTCTGCTCAAAGGGAAAGAAAAGAACAGATTTTGTTTATCTGGCTTCATTGATAATCTGGTTATCAAACAGAGGTGGGAGTTGTTAAGGTACTTAAAGGTCTCACATGTTTATGTTTATCAGAGCAGTTATGACGCCATGTGAAACATCCAGTAAATACAGTGACTCAAGTATTCACGCTCTACTACTCCTTTTATTTTTAAAGAGTAATACTTCATATACAGAGGGTCAGAGAGAGAGAGAGAGAGAGAGAACATTTTCAACCTTGAAAGTCCATTCAAATGTTAACTCTTTTGCTTATGTGGCTTTACTACAGGTTCTTTGGACACTACTCTTTATTGTCTGAATATTTTCTAAGCAGAACTGCTAGAAATTACAGTCACATATAGTATACCACAATACATTATTTTCTATCTCCAAATTTGTAACCCAGTCTTTTGTCCAGAAGTTAATCCACTTCAAAGACAGATTTCAGCATTATATGTTATATAAAGTTCCCATAGAATAGAAATAAATTTAAATTTAAGATGAAATTATAAATTTTACTAAAGGGCTGTATGTGTATGAAATAATGTAATATACCTTGTTTGAACAAGGAATGCAAATATCCTAGCATTGTCAAAAGTCATAATGTTATAATGTTTTTGGTGATTAATGATGAAAAAGAATTAAACTTCAGTTATTCACTTATGCAACTGTAACCTTTAGGATGGCAGTTTTCCATTACTATTTTGGGCACATATTGCGTTAAGACACAACATATTGTATTTTTGATGATAAATCTGCTCCAAACATTTACCACTCAATCTCGATGACAATTCATTTCCTTGGGAATACGATTGGAGCCGCTTGGTTTTCTGCAGACATAACTTGACACCTTTGCCAGCGGCAGCGCAGGTACGAGGCACCCCGCAAAGCCCTGGACCCGGCAGTGCGGTGAGTGAGGAATGAGGGATGGGGCCGTCGCCCCTGCGCCCCTTCCCGGCAAGCAGAGAGGCCCTGGCTCACGGCAAAGCCCTTCAGTGACTCCCGTGGCCTCAGGCAGTCCCTGCTCCTGCGGGCAGCGCTGACCGCCTGCAAGCTGCCCCCGCTGCTGATTTAACCAGCAGGTCACTCCGGACCGTAACAGACGCCTCTGCCTGTTTCTGCAGATGTGCCTCTTCTGAACCCCCTTGGGCCTTTTATTCTGCTGTGCTGCTCTGTCTCATCAATGGCTTAGATGCTGTTTTTTCCATAGCAACCCACACCTTCCTAATTCGGGAGTCTTTCTTCTCAAGTATTCCAGACTGTGTTATTATAGCTTGTATTTCGTGGAAGACCAGAGGGAGAAAATACTGCAAATCTTGCAGGCACAGTTGGGAGCATCTCAGCTACTTCGGAAAAATCCTCACCCTTCTGCCACAGTGCTGGCCAAAGACAACCCCAGCTGTGCTCCGCATCCAGCTCCGCCACAAAGAGCAGGCAAGTCCCTGGAAAGTCACTTAGTCTCCTTCCTATTTCTCACCTGTAAAGTGGGCTGCAGTTTTGCTACTACAGAATCAGGAGACTGAAAGCACCGACATGTGGATGGGGTTCAGCTGCTCAGTGGTTATTGCCTCGGGCACAGGACAGGTCAGGCTTTTCAACTGAAACCACCTGCCACTGGGGAGAAGCGAGGCTCGTATATAGGGTACATGTAGGTGCACGTATAGAGGGGATGGACAGGGCAGGAACAGTCTCCTTGGGGTGAGCCTGGTCACCACCACCCAGGGAAGAACAAAAAAGGACATTCATGGCAACTGTCATGGGCATTTTTATCCTCACCTGCTTGGGGAATCAAAACATGTTCTTATCATTACTGCAGCAATGACAGCAATGAGTCCAGGACATTTGAGAGCTACAGGCTTAAAAAAACATCCAACAAAGCTTTTAAAAAAATATCTTCAAAATAGCAGTTTCAGTATTTGGTGGCAGGTAAGTTGGTGGTAAAGCTGAAACCTCTTGCAAAAGTTGATTTTCATCAGTGACGTACAAGGTGGCAAAATGAACCTTATTAATAAAAAATATCCAGAAACTACAAATGCACCCTACTAAGTTAAGACATGAACGTGGTATTTCCCACATAGGAGAGCTGCTTTGGGAAGGGGGAGAGAAAGGAGGAGTGCCCTGTTTTGTTTGTTTTCCTAAAGAGGACTTCTCTTAAAAGATTTAAAACCAGAGAAAATCAGCCTGATTGCAAAATAAATACTTTGACAGCCGCAGAGAACCCCCCTGAGCAGCTACCTTTGTATCAGAAACCCAAACACATCAAGTAGCTGGATTTGCAATGCATTTTCCCTCAAGTCAGTGAATAGGAATTACGTTGACATATGTGTCGGATCATATCTTTATACACATTGTTAGCGTGCCATAAATAACCAGGCGATCCCCACTCATATATCTAAGGTTTCTTCCCTGCCACAGATGCCAGTGCAGCGATCAGATACGCCACTGTAAAGCTTTTAGCCGTCCATAATGATCCCGAGATCTTGGCTTTGCCCCAGAGGAATCCGTTCACTAGAGATTTGGCAGAGCAATGAAAGCCCATGCCCAATTTCATCAACATTTTTTTTTGGATTTCCTTCTTCTGGACAGATAAACACCCCAATGAGGCAGGCTACAGAAAAAACGGTGGGAAGGACAGAAACACACTTATCTCTGGTGTATCTCTATGTCTGATTCCTAAGGAACACACAACCAGTCTCCTCCACAATATTTCTAAAGGAAAAATATAAACTTCTGTAGCAGGCTCCAAATGGCTTTAGTTATCATTCAGATATAATTATTTCTGCTAACTGATAGTCTCTTTTTGTTACTAGAGATTAGTATTAGCTAGATTAACAGTATTTTTTTTTTAATTCGGGCTTAGTTTCAAGATTATACTGATGGGCTTTTGGAAACATTTTACATTTAAACCAGCAGTAACACACAAACTTTTTGGAACCTCCGGCAGATTCACAAAAGCATTTAAACACATTCCAGCTTCCTCTACTTGAGACACTTTTTCCTGTGCCCAGTTACATACAATAGAAATTTCTACTTGTTTCCACTGTGACTTAATAATTTGGGCTCTGAGCCTGCAACTATTCGGGAATGTTTGAGCATGTGAAGAGGCCCTACAAAGGGAACGGATTTCCCAAGATGTCACCTCGCAGGGACACTGCGAAAGGAATCGAGGCTGCTGTTGTCCACGCTGACTGCCTCGGCTGTTGGGGACAGGCTTGTGGCTGCAGGGCCAGGGGCAGAGAGCCGGGTGTCAGCTCGGGTGGCCGCTGCCCGCGGTGCTGCGCGGGGCTCCCTGCCCCTGCCAGAACCGGCCCTTGGGCCGCCCCGTGGCCAGCGCCGCGGCAGGCGGGTAGCCAGGGCGGCTCGTGTCCTTGAGCACTGCCCTTGGTTGGGCTCCATCGGCTCGTTTCCTTGAGCACTGCCCTTGGTTGGGCTCCATACGGTGACATCCTGCTGCTCTCAAACTAAACTTTTCCAGAGCACTGGGGATCTTGTTAATGCCAGGGGCTCCGGAGAAGGCAACCTAGGATGGCTAGCTGGGATGGATGACACAGCTGGGCCTCTGCAGAGCCCTGCTCAGCTCAGTCACTACTAGTTTATTTGCATCACGCAAAGCAATTGCTTTCCTGGCACTATCTTAACACAAATAAGGGAGATCTGCCTGAAGAATCGAAGGAAAATCACTTTTTAAACTTCGGAATAGCATCAAAAGATCCAGCTCCTTCCCCTCTCTTCTGAGCCAGTCTCCCAGGGCCCTCCCTGGCTACGCCAGGAGAGCAGTTCACATTTGCTCCTGGAAGCAGCATGGCCATCCATCCCCAGGGAGCAGGAGTCACCAGGCACTCTTCCCTGCAGGAAGACAGGTCAGACAGCCAGAGGAGGCACCTAAACAGGGGCTGCCTATTTCTCCCTCCATCTCTCCTGACAGTAACCCTGGTCCTCAGGTTCCTTCCGAGAAAAAGGTCAGCAAGCTCCGCTTGGCTTCGGCTGAATCCCGAGCAGGCTTCATCCTTCTGGAGGATGCTTTTTTACCATTAGACAAAGAAATAATAACAATAAAAAAGCAACTTGCTTCTGTCTCCTGAAGTGGCTGTGCTATTTACCTACTTATTTGACAATTTTAGGTTGAAATGTCATTTCCCAGGAAAAGCTTTAATAATAACCAGGAAAAAAAAAAAAAGAAAATAGGAAAAAGAGAAGAAATAGGCATTTTCTTTGAGTTAAAAACAGGCAAAAACGAGAGGGACCCCCTAAAAATGAAAGCATTTCAAATACTTAGTGTTTCCAGACCGCTGCGCTACTGCATGAGAGCTGATGGGCTCGCGCTGCTGCTCTCCTGCCCACGGCAGCGCCTCGTGCTGAGCTCCATCCCTGGGGAGCCAGCAGTGTCCCGATGGTACAGAAGGAAACGTGAACATGACGCCAGCTGAACTGTCCCCTCAGGAAGGCAGGGTAACGGCCTCGCCAAATCACTATGTCACTGTTTTCCGTGCACTCCATAGCTCAATGTGAATCAACACTTAACCAAAGCCAGGAATCACTTCTCACAAAAGGAGCTGCTTTGTCAGCTTCACTATTTTCTGCTGAAAAATAATTTCAGCAGAAACTTTCAGAGAGCCCTGTCCTTATTCAAGGTAGTGTCTTACCACAGATTGGTTACATTCAATCAGCAGCTTTTCCCCAGGGATAAGAAGCTCTCAGTGGCCCACCCCACTGCACTCCTCAGGCTTGTCTTTTATTCCAGCTGTCTCTTCTGGAGGGGCAATTTCAATGCTGCTCCAACCAGGAGTTTGAGGAGAAGAGCATGTGTGGCCCCTTTTCCCATGGAATCTCTGCTGCCATCCCTAGAAGCTGCAGCACAAGACATCTTTCCATTGCAAGCAGCCGGCCCCGGGAGCGAGCCAAGCGCAGTCCTGCTGCTCACAAGGTACGCGGCACGCAAGGCGATTCTCCCCAAAGTCCACCAAAACTAGAGCCAG